ACAGCGGGTGGGTGATACATAGTTTTTTGCAGGGGAGGGGTCGGGGGGTGTTGCATTAAAACACGCTGCAATTTTACTAAAAAATGTAAAAGAATAAAGAAAATCAATTATTGATGTAATATATGTATACTTAAATGATGCAATTTTATTGGGGGTTTATATTGACTGGATCAAATTATTGGTGGGGTTATAACCCCCCCATCCCCCGTGTAAATTACGCCGGTGCATATAGGGGACAAACACAGTGATATTTGAGAAGTGAAATGAAGTTTGTGATTTACAGAACGTGAGCAATAATTGGTTAAACACAATTAGGCAGGTGCATAAATTTGTGCACTGTTGTCATTTTATTGATTTCAAAACCTTTAGAACCAATTATCGGAACTCAAATTTGATTTGGTAAGTTCAGTGACCCTTGACCTCCAAACATTCAAGGATTTATAAAGGTAAATCAGGAAAATGAACAAGGCTGCCCAAACTTTTGCACCCCACTGTACATGATGTCATGCATGTTCCATGTTGTATGAAACTGTGATCTCTGCAACCTTTTTAAGAGTTTTGCATAAATCATTTTATTTGTCATTTGGTTTGACCAAATTAGACCCAAATATTAACTACTTTAAACAAGGTTAACTGAACCAATAGTTTGAGGTGATCTAATCACTACAGATGGACATGGATTCGTTTCCAGCTGGTTACGTCATAAATAAAAGCAACAGTAAGAGCAGATTAATATCCTGTGTTACGTTATCAGATAAGAACCTGGACAGGAATTAATCATAAATAAATCCTCAGGGTACTCTGAGATCTCTGCTCTTAAAAACAAACAGGTGTTGAGAAATCCTCTGTGGCTCGTTTGTCAGATTTCTAATAAGAAATGTTTCGGTTCTCGTCAGAAACTCAGCGGTCTTTTTTCTCTCTCTCTCCCTCGTTTTGAGTGGCAGCAACAAAAGTTCCACAAGTCATTTGATCATTTCATTTAAATTCTTGATCACTTTTTGCAGCACTCCTCATTTTCTTTCCGAGCCTCGGTTGGCAGCAGTTGCGCTGAAGTGGCAGATGACACGTCGAGTGGTGACACTGCATTAACATCGGCAGCAGAGCCACCATGAAAACAACGCCCACGTCACATATGTGCCCAGCGTCGGATGCCAAGGTGTAAAACTGATCAATCATAGGTGTTGAGATGTGGCGCTTTTATTGGCCTTAAGTGACAGCATGGCACTCAGGCATCTGTTTCTGTGCTATTAATACCACACCGCGCTCTGCCGCTGCCATGGCAACCAGCGTGTTCGCAGCTTCACGTGTGATGTTGACTGCAAGTTAAAGGCTGTTTGTCAGAGCGATGCACAAAGTTGTCACAGTTTTAATTTAGGAACCTTAATTGTTTACCTGGAAATTAGATTTTCAACAACATGCTCAGTGCCTTATTGCTCATTGCATGTTGATTTTAATTGTTGATGACAGTTTGATATGCTTCACTGTTCATAATACTCACAGCACTTTACATTTTATAACAGCGTACATGATACTACGTTTTACATTTTATGACTTTATACAAGATGCTCACTACATTTTACATTTTATAACTTTATACACAATGCTCACTACATTTTATAACTTTATACACAATGGTCACTACATTTTATAACTTTATACATGATGCTCACTACATTTTACATTTTATAACTTTATACACAATGCTCACTACATTTTATAACTTTATACATGATGCTCACTACATTTTATAACTTTATACATGATGCTCACTACATTTTATTACTTTATACATGATGCTCACTACATTTTATTACTTTATACATGATGCTCACTACATTTTATAACTTTATACATGATGCTCACTACATTTTATAACTTTATACATGATGCTCACTACATTTTACATTTTATAACTTTATACATGATGCTCACTACATTTTATAACTTTATACATGATGCTCAATACATTTTACATTTTATAACTTTATACATGATGCTCACTACATTTTATTTATACATGATGCTCACTACATTTTATAACTTTATACATGATGCTCACTACATTTTATAACTTTATACATGATGCTACATTTTACATTTTATAACTTTATACACAATGCTCACTACATTTTATTACTTTATACATGATACTCACTACATTTTACATTTAATA